ACACCAAAAGTGCTGGGATGCCAGTGAAGGGAATGGAGATGTTTGCTTACAATTATTCGTTAACCCTGAGGATGGTTTTGCCTATTGGATGCGTTCCCTGTCCTCATGCTCCAGGGACCATGTGAACAGAGGCAGGCAGATAGAAGTGCTGTTGTACAGGGTCCCTAAGACTTGAATACTCTAATTGTTAAGGACCAGAGCAAAGGTGTTTAACAAACACCCAAGCCAGGGCTGAAGTTTCAGTAGCCACTTACTGGCTGAATGGGGACTCTGGTGAGGGTAAAGGAGCCCGAGGCACAGTCCACAAAGATGATTATTGTAGTGCCAGTGTTTCAATGCTCAATCCTAAAGGGACGCCACTGAAAACTCAAGTTTTCCTCCTTGTGAGCAGCAGGTCCCAAACGTGAACTGCTGGGAGCACCTTGGGCTCTTTCTAGTCCTCACATGACCGCCTACAGAGGCTTTTTCCAACAGCACACTGTTATCTGGGAACTCTATTTTTAACAGGTGCACTTCAGAGGTCTGCAAAACCATCGCAGTCATTCAGTGTCACTGTCAGAACACAACAGTCTAAAACACCTACTGGATGGTTATGAAACAGCCAAACCTTCATCAACCGCCAGGAAGCTGGTGTCCCCAATTTCCCATGTCAGGGTGGACTCAGGGTCTGGGAGAGCAAGGCACAGGCATGGGACCAGAAAGGAGAGCAGGAGGCTGGAGCAGGGGAATTGGGGTCAAGAAAACCCAAGATCGCATCTTGACTCTGACGTTTCCTAGTGTAAGTTACAGAAACTCTTTAAGCCCCTTTTCTTTTTCTGAAAAAAGGGATGACACTACTACCTATCTTTTAGGTTGTGTTAAGGATCAAATAAAATGCCATACAGAAAGCAGTTGGCATGGTACCTGGCCCAGAGAGAAACTTATTCAACAGTGGCTGTTAATATTAAAGGGAGGGATGGCAAAGCGGGTGAGAAGAGTGGAGAAGGGACTAAGGAGAGCCAGAAATATCCAGAACAGGCAAATCCATAAAGACAGGAAATAGATCAATGAGTGTACAGGGGGGGGAGAATTGGGAATAACTGCCAATGGATACAGTCTTTCTTTGGGGGTGATGAAAATATTTTGGAATTAGATAGTAGTAGTTTGCACAACCTTATAAAATCTCCAACCCATCTAAATTTGAAATGGTGAATTTTATCGTCTGTGAATTGTATCTCATATATTATGGTAGATGAATTCTATATCAATTGAACAATACACCACACACACATTTTTTGTTATGTGTGTGGTTTATTATTTTTATTGAGATATAATTCACATACCACATACCCAGAAAGTCTAGTTACTTGAAACAACCCATTCCCTGACCATGCTGGCGGACCGAGGTGCACAGGGTGATGTGATGGGAAGAACCCTGAAGGAGGGGCCCAGGCCTCATATTTATATCATCTAAGACCCACCAGGTCAGTTGCTCCCTTGAAAGAAAAGTGACTGGCTCAGAAAACAGTCCCCAGATGGCCGAGGGTGGGTAGGCTCAGGGTTCAGTAACGAAGCAGGGTCCTTCCAGCGCGTTCAGCCCTCAGACAGGAAGACGGGAGGGTTAACGGAGGTCGACGGCTGCTTTTCCTCAGTAATTGAGTGGGGAGGGCACAGCTCTTGTCTGGAATGGCAGCTGGCATTCTGTGTTCCTGTTTATTGCAGTTTATCTCAAGCAGTCATTGCCATTCACCTTTTAAAAAAAACATGAGGCGCAGCTGTGGCTTCATGTTAAATATTGTTCCTTCCAGCCTTTTAATTTTTTCACGGGCTCCCCCCTAATCTTTCACTATAATTGGATGCACAACACTAGAGACAGCGCCTCGGAGGAAGGAGCGCCAGCCTTCCCATCCTGGACCACACACGGCCTGTCCACAGCTCCATTCTTTACGCGAGACGCTTCCCTGGGTTTGCTCTGCTCTGGGACACAGTGGGAGCCAGCCTTCTCCGGAATTCTATGAAATTTTCTTGATTTCGTTTCTCTCTATCAGTGTAATTTGGATCTTTCCAGGCCCTGAGATGGCACAGGCTGCATGTTTTCTGGACTCACACTAGCTATCCGAACATCCATTCTTCCAGGCAGCAATGTCCACATCAGCTTGTTTTGTTTGCATGCCCCTTTCCCCCATTCAGACTGTAAGCTCCTTGAGGGAAAGCCCAATCTCCCTTGGCGAGCTTGGCCGTGCACACAATGCCAGGGACACCGAGGGCTCTTGGTGAGTGAGTGGTGGCTGGAGGAGTCAGAACGTAGACTTGCTCAGTGTGTTGTGTGGGTCTTTACCAGAGGGCCAGGGGTTGCTCAGAGCAAGGCAGGGCAATGATGACTGAACATTCACACCTCAGATTCTGCCAAGGTACAGGCCTTCCTTCCTAAATCTAAGATCTGTGTTGCTGAGTATAGTTTTACTACTGAATAAACCAGGGGTCCTTAATGAGACATCTTGCTTACCATCGGGACCTTCCCCAAGGAAAAGAAAGAGATGCCCACTCTCTTCCTTCCTCTGCCTGGGTAGAATCTACTTTTAGTTATTGGTAAATCACCTTTCCCCAATGGCTGTTTGCCTGACTTTATAACAATCTTGTAAAATAATCCCTGCATGCATGTGGTATAGTGCAACTGGTATAGGAAATTCTGTTGTATCTAGGTAGGGGTATACCAATTTTCCAATTGCTTTTGATAACTAACTGACCTCACAGTCACAGGAGGTGAAAGAGCAATTATTAAAACTTTTTTAAAAATTTTAAACATTTAAAAAATAATCTATTTGTATATGTTTTCTGCATACACAATATATTTTTACAGTGATATGTGCATGTAACTTATGAGTAAAATACATGTATATTAGAGGCATGTGCTCAAAAACATTTTACTGATGGGTACAAGGTCTAAAAAGCCTGCAGACCACTGCCTATGGCATCTAATTTAATTTTCTACTTAGTCAACCAAACAACAAAAACAAAACATTCGAGGAAAAAACTTAGAAATTAGAAGATTCCAATTAGGAAAAGCGATTTTTATACTAGGTAATTCTTTTCCTGGCCTTTGTGTTTTAAAGAAAACATATGTTGCCTTGTTTCAGTAGAAGTTCCTAATGAAATTACGACTAGTATTTTTTTTCAGCATAATGAAGCCTTCATAGTAAACATGATATGCATAAATTTGAAAGCATTTGCCGGAGAAGGTAGTTAAAAAGCTGAAACAAGAAGAGAACAACTCTCACGTTTAGGGTCCAGAACAACATAAACAGGCCTCTGGCATCCTCCTCATCTAGAGGTTTCATCTAGTGGTCCTTTGTACCTGACCTACTGGACACCAAATCTCCTGAAATCGCAGGTGGCATTCCACTGCCTTAGTTAGATAAAAGCTCTCACAATGCAACTCTGTATTGTTGTTGTTGATGTTTTAAAGCTACTGGAGCCTTTCAAGTTTGTGGCTTTAGTCCGTGCTGTATCAGGTTGCCGCGTATCATCACTCACTCATTCCAGGCATCTGGGCTCTCACAGGTTCTAAGTAGAATAAAACTACAGTGGCCATTGCTTTGTTGTTATTGCCTGAGCAATGGTATGTCTCTCATTTTTCCTAAGTGCAAACTGACCTACGCTTTTCTATCTGAGAAACGGTTTGACAAAGAAAACCGAGAGCTGTCTTTTGGCCCTGGATGTAGGAGGCAGTGTGAGAGCTGTGCACTTGTTCCGGCTGGGTGACTGACCGGCTCTGATTGCTGTGTCCCAGGAGTCTGCTGCACTGCCACTTCCGGCAAGAGGGGACAGCTGAGAGGTGTTAGGGTTTCAGGACTCTGTGCACTTGCCACCTTGGGCACACTTCCCTCTTTGGGGATCACAAGGGACCAAACACACAGGGCAATATGGCAGGTCATTTAAATCTCTTTTACATATCTAAGTTTCAGCTTCTGGAGAAAGAACATAAATTATTCCGGACTGCTCTAAGAAATAAAGTATATACTCAAAATAACCCCTAAACTCACACACAATTATGCATATAAGATACAAACTGCCACATTTTACATTATTATATGTAAGGATCTATCAAGACAGAAACTTCTTTCTGTATCTCACTCTGGGGGAAAAAAGTTAGTGACACATTTGATCAAATTAAAAGTTTAGCAGCAAGTTTTACTGTTTTAGGTCCATGATAGAAGGCCCCTTATTTTTCGTCCTGTGCTGTGCTGTGACCTACATCTGACTTAGAAAATAGTAAGGGGGACGGACGTAGCATGTGTTTAGCCTTCTGCGGACAGACAAGCATATACTTGTCGTTTAATTTCATGACCTCACCCATATAACTAAAGCTATTTTTACTTGGGTCTCTTATTACTGGACAATTACCATATAAAACATTCCAAAAATATATCTATCGATTCAAAAGAAAAGGCAAGCAAAGAAGTAGTAGATACTGTACCAATTTTTTTTAAACCCCACACTTCCCTTAGTAAAACTTAATTATTTTTCATTGTTTACAAAGGCAAAATTAGAAAGATAGGTTAAACATCCTAGTAATTTTTAAGTGTNAAACCCCACACTTCCCTTGGTAAAACTTAATTATTTTTCATTGTTGAAAAAGGCAAAATTAGAAAGATAGGTTAAACATCCTAGTAATTTTTAAGTGTAGGCAAACTGTTAACATGTCAATAATTTAAAAAAATTCCTCCTTTACATAAAAAGCCTGCCTAGCAACTAAATGTATAATAGAATTTTTTCAACTTCAGTGTAACAACATGTGTATTCCACTTAGTGCTAAAATATATTAATGAATACAAGCTGGGGAAAGCAGAAAGAAGAACTCTCCCAGCTCATGCATTCAATTCTGTGCATTTCAGCTTTCCTGAATATATTCCGGCAATGGCCACTGAGTGTGGAATTTGGCTACTACTCAACGGTGATCTTTCTCCCAGTTAGAAAAATGGTCCGATTGTTCACAAACAAAAGAACTCTCCCCCCCTTACCTTTTTATAATTCCCCTCCATATCCAATGGGGATTCTTGACTGATGATGTCATCCATTCCATCACTGTCCAAATTCATCCTTTGACTCTTTAGAATTTTACTTGAGAAAGAACCTCTCATGAATTCTGATAGGCCGGGGTGCCAATGGCTCAGGACCCCGATCACTGCTCATGCTGACGTGCAGAGCCAGCTCAGAGTCTGTGCCCGGCTGTGCCTGTCCTTGTCCTGCTCTGTCTCAGAGACACCGCCCTGCCTGGCCTCCCTGGTCTGTCCTGTGCTCTGGCCCAGGGGCAGCTGCCGTTCTCCGAGGCCCACTCCGCACACTGTCGCTTGGTTTATTGAAAGTGCAGCCTTCCCACCATCTGCTGTCGCCTTCCCGAAGGGTCCCGCCTGGATTCCTCTCCACGGTATCTCTCCTGTTCCCAACCAAGGAAGAGCTGATTCAACCGCCCAGCTCCCCAGGTCAGGGCTGGTCGTGGAGAGGAGCCCGGGGAGGAAACCGGCAACCTCACTCTGAACCCGGGGCAGAGTGGAGGGGATAAAAATAGCTGCAAACAACCGCGCCTCGCAGACCTCGCCAGTGAGTTAAAAGCCGGGTATCCCATGACAAAAAGAAAACAGTGTAATTTAAAGGCTAACCTGTAAGACAGATGTTTGCTTTTTCTTTTTTCTTTTTCCCATAACCAATCATTTCTTAGAATCAGATGGAAATGTCTCATCTTGTGGTAGAAGCCCCAGCACAAAGATGAAATTTATTTCCAACACAGGGAAGGACCCCTCCGCCCAAGGATCAGTGCTTTGTTCTATTAACGCAGTCAAGAGAAAGAGATCCATCAACTTTCCTCTAAAATTCAGCCAGTGGCGGGCTTTTTCACAAAAGAGAATGTTCCTTTCGGCTGCTCTCTTCAACCTTTTCCCAGGGCTTTTGGTTTCGTTTGCTGGCTTTACATGCAGGGAAGACCCACAGCTGGAGGGTGTTTGGGTGCAAGAAGCAGACAAACAACACACACACACACACACACACACACACATGCTGAACAACTACCACCAGACTAAAAAATATAGTCTCTGTTCACTTCTAAAAAATGAAGTTTCTGTTTGCAGAAGTGGGCGAAAGAGCTCAGAGGGCAAGCCTCCGCTTAACAACTCCAGCTCATCCTCTGACTCGCACAGACAGAAAGCAGCAGATGTACTAGTTAATACGTCTTCCAATGTGAGTTCCTGACCAAGTTCAATGCTGTTACCAACACACTAGTCAAGCAAAAATGTCATTCAAGGTAGCCTTTTGGCATCTCGTCCTCTGTTGACACGCTAAAATTCTGTTGTCTATTTCTCTCCACAGTTTTTTTAAAAAATTCAGTTTGTTCAAGACTGGTGGCATGAGCCCGGCCGGGCGTGGCTCAGCGGCTGAGCGTCGACCTAGGATCTAGGAGATCGGGGTTCGACTCCCGGTCAGGGCACATGCCCGGGTTGTGGGCTCGATCAATGACTCATCATTGATGTTTCTCTCTCTCTCCCTCTCCTTTCCTCTCTGAAGTCAATAAAGATATATTTTAAAAAAAAAGACTGGTGGCATGAATGTGTCTCGTATAGTGGAGTACAGCCCTACTTCTGCAAAGCAAATAATTTCCTCTGCAGCCCCTGTCCCAAATCCAAATCCTCCCGGAACTCCAGCGTCAGACTCCCTGCTGCCCACCACCACAGTGCCCGGGAGTGACTTGTATTTTTGTAGGCAGTACAATGACTAGTTGTGTCTCAAGAGCCACACTCGCACTTGGGCAGGGCTTCTCCCTAGCAGAGTTCTCCCTTGTCTTCCTCTCTTCCAGACCCCAGGACCTTCATGCTAAACATGGTTCCCACTATCTGCAAGCAAGGAACCCAAAACACCTCCCAGGGCTGAGAGGCAATGCTGGGTGCTGCCCCAATGTGGCTGTCCCAACACCGGAGAATTCGCCAATTGGGGTTACAATGAAGTATCTCTACCGTAAAGCATCATGTGTATATTAAATTCTGCCAAAGGAGGTGTCACTTAAAATGAAGGAAGCATGCATCTTATTACACGACATATATTAAAAACAATAATTACCCTTTACTGAGGGGTTGCTATGTGCCAGGCACTTTACATATGTGTCTCACACATGTCTTCAATCCTTACAATAACCCTTTGGATCAGATACTACCATCAACTGCATTTTATAGCCGAGTAAGAGCTCAGTGAAAGGAAGTAACTTGCCCACAGTGTGGCTGCTTGTGCATGGTCAGGCCAGAATTTGAACCTGGGCCCTCTGCTTCTGTGGCCCACAATCTAAAAGGGGGTGGGCGTGCCAGACCTCCTCCCACTGGCTGCCTTGGTAAGAAACAACTGCCCACACAAAAATAATCAGGCAGAGCTTTTAAAAATTACGATTTAATACAGAGAGAATTCTGGCAGCACTCCTGTAACAACATCCCATACTGAATGTCAATCGCGTATCTGGAGCACCCAGCATGTATCACCACTATCCTCTGCCAATTAGACGTCAAGAAAGAAAACGAGAGCGTCTTCCCAGACGATCGTGACCTAACATGCTGTGGAGTGACTCTTCTCTTCGAGTTCCCCACGGTGCGTTCAGCGCCACCACGGCTCCTTCCCAATGCTGTGGGGCTTCAAGGCTGCTTCCAGGGGCAGGCTTGGGTTTACTCATCTCGCTCCCCCCAGCAGCCTTAGTCACGCTAAGGGGACAGTGAAGAGCTGCTGAACAAATACGCGAATGCAGGAGAGAGGTGTGTGTTGCTTAAAATGTTTCCTTAAATGCTGTCCATGGTAGGAAATGTGGAGTTCACATTGCAGCTTTTCAACCGAGATTTTCTGTGGAAACCATGCACGTTCGAAGTTAAAAATGGGTCTGCTCTGGTGGAAGGAGGGGCGCTGGATTGCAGTCTCTGACCTCGGTTAGCATCCTAGTCCACCACTTAGCAGTCTACCACCCAGAGCTAACACGGATGACATTACACAAACCCAGAGATTACAGACTTTGTAAGATACATAGCACTGTAAGCCTAATTACTAATGCAGTTTTCCTTTCATTTTAACAGAGTGGGCTTAAATATATAGTTAAAATGACTGAACTCTATTAGTTACATGTATGTATACACATATTCAAATTCATATATGCAGTGATAATATATTGACTGTATACACACACACACACACACACACACACACTCTTTAATAATATATTATCTTTTGGAGAAGGGGACCTCGAAATTCAAGATGAAACTTCCCAGCTAACCAACTAAGAGAGTGCTGAAAACCATTCCCCTCCTCTACCCGCTATGCCTATTCTGGTCATAAGTGATTCTCTAACAAGCACTATATGGAGACAAGTGACAGGATATCCCCTCCTGAAACACGGACTCGAGAGCATGCAGGGTGGTCCCCAGCAGTGACGAATTTTCTCTGCACCCTCCCTTAAGAAGTGCTCAGCACACAGACAGGCTCAGCCCAGACCCTTTCCAGAAGGAGCCATACCACGACTGTCTGGATGGCTTGTACCAGCTAAAATGTCGGATAATTTCCTATCATGTGGACTGACCTTCGATGCATTCTAGAGATTTGCTACTCAAAGCGTGTCCTCTGACAAGAGCATACACATGACCTGGGTGCTTACTGGAAATGAAAACTCTGAAGGTTCCCCCGCCCAGCCTATGGAACCAGAAAACGCAATTTTAAAAGAGCTCTTGGATTTTTGAATGCACCTTAAGTTTGAGAAGCACAGATCCAGGCCTTGAAAAAAATTACTATAAACCATTACCCTTTTACTTTAGATGTTTGGGATCAACACTGTAACTGATTTCACTCCCAAGAGGTCCAAATGGATACAGGAAAGGAAAAAGCAAGCACCTCACTGGAGATGAGCTGAAGGTTTTGCAGTAAGTAGCTACGTAACAAGGGGTAAGAGCCACTCATGTCCTTTCCACAGAGAATTCTCTCCGGTTCCTTCTCCACTGCCACCGTTTCCAAATGGACTCTGCTGGCTTAACATGGGCCCAGAGACTGATGCTATCCCTTAGAAAACATACACACGGCCATTTACAATCCCGAGGGCGAAAGGGCCTCTTCTCAAGCCCTCCCCTCCCCACCCCTGAAATTCAAGGACTAGAACAGAGCGCTTCAGTTTCCTGTCAAGCCATGACCTGAACGGCAAGGTGCATTGATCACGTGCGCTGATGCTTTTAAATCATCATTATCGGGCACTGGTGGAAATTATTGACTCTGAGAACACTGACCACATTACTGGGAAATCATTTACGCATTGCCAGAAGATATTCCTGTTCACAGATGGGAACTCTGGGTCATCCTGACTACGAAGCCTTCAGCATCCCACCGCCTTCCCTTTCGCCTGAGCATCCAAATTTCACCGCTATACAAACTGATACTTGAGTTGTAATCTTTTTTTCAAATTAATTTTTTTTTCTTCTGTGCCAAGTTCATTTACATTTGCTTTGCTTTCCAATTAAGGTACACTGGCAGCTAGATAAGCCATGAATATATGCAGGCGTTTTTTAAATGGACTTTTCAGTGTATGTTAAAAAATTAAAATAATGGCATTGGGAGTGTGGGGTAGAGGAGATGGAAGTGTTGGGAGCAAACAGAGTGCCAAACATTCACCCATATTAAAAAGGTGAGGACCACAGACATAAATCTTTCCGCTCAACTGAAAACCTGAGTACAAGAAACTCAACTGCAGTCACTGTGGGGGCCACAGCATGGCTTCCAAAGGGGGCCGGTATGAAAGCCCTCATTACATTTCTCTGTGTTCTTAGCCTTCTTTCCCCATTAATGGCTCTCCTGTGCTGTCATTAGGCCTTTCTGAGAGTTGTTTTCTTCTGTATTCAAGCAGTCTTGTCAAAGTGCTTTCTATTTCAGGAAGCTCGGTAATTTCTGATGCTTTTAGATAGTGCACAGGAGAATTCTAAGTACACCAAGATTTCAAAGTTTCCCTTGGCATAGAGAATATAATAGGATATGGTTGTATTAATGCTGAGCTTCATGTGAAATTGTGTTTAGTTACCCAAGACTGTGTGTGTGTTTGTGT